AAAATACCGGCTGAAGTTTTATTAAGTTTGTGCGATAAACCGTTGATAAATAACAACACAGTATCTTTCTATGCAAAACCGTTCGGCTTTCTTCTAATGCTCTATTATTTTGCGAGGCGGGATGCGATGACCTTGAAAATCAACCAAGTATAAAGATAAAAGCTTTTTAATGTTCCCGCTACGATTTTAATTTCAATTTTATTGAATTATAAATGTACGGCACAAAATGTTTTCACGCTCATCTTGAACTTTTTCAGAATAGCTATCAAGTGCCAATGAATCGTTCATTAAACCCTTGTTACGAAATTTTGACTCATGACTTTTAAAATAGTCAAAAAGAGTGACTCATGAAACCCGGGAAAACAATTGAATTAGAGCTCACCAAGGGACTGCRTCATATTTATCAGGAGKGGGGTGGGGCTTGAGAATCCAAAGGGGGGAGGGGGAGATTTAATTTTAGGTGTTWYARGAGTGGAGCACTTTAACTGAACTGAAAAATAAACGGTGTCAGATTCTGTGCTTTTTTGTCCAAATAATTATTGAATACATCTTAGTACGCCCTAATTGCATCTTTGCTTTCTTTTGTTTCTATTTTTGGAGCATCAAAAATTAATAGTCTAATTTTGAATTCTATTAGTCCACCCAATATAACGGCGACATCAAGATTGTGCTCAAATGCTTTTTATAATTTCATTGCTATTTTACACTGTTACCAGACTAGCCTGGGAACTCAATCTAGTAACTGTTTCAGTAATCATTTCGTACAGAATGTACAATTTTTTTTGTTTTATGACAATTGTATTTTAAGTTACGAGTATTGTGAATCATGTCAGCCAAATCAGTAATATTAAGTTTCCCAGTAGTTTTGCCTTTAAAACGTAGACCTAAARGAAACACAAAGAAAATAAGCGTTAGATAAAATAATGTAGTTTATATGCCAGTTTAAAATAAACTATACATATGCAATTTCGAAGCATAGTTAACGCTGTAAAGCCGTGAAATTGGACTAATTTGTTTCACACAGATTTGCATGGAGTTGTGCATATTCTAGAAGTGAAGCATTCGTTGAATGGGCACCAATTACTATAATGTAATGCCAAAGACATTTCACAGATTTAGAGCGTTTCTCCTCAAGGAAAACTAATCATTAAAATTTGACATTCGTTAAGTGATCTTTAAAGAATTCTTACAGGGTCCGTGCACGTCCTTAAAAACTTTGATCAAGGGTACTTGAAACTCCTTGAAAATTTAAAAAAAATTCGAAAAATTCCTTGAAAACTCCTTGAAAAAGATAGCTTTCTATCACGAAGCGCTAGCGATCTCCGAATTATTCCGTTCAGCTGAAGTTGTGAGGTAAGAATGTACAATTAGCATGATTATGATGTTCCTTGACAATTTTAGCCCTTCAAAATTCCTTTAATTTCGTTTGATACTCTGCAAGGATCCTGTTCTTATTTTAAAATGCAATCTTTTTATATGACAATCACCTTATCAATAGTCAAGATCGTCTTCGTCGTCTTTGCGCATGTTTTTACGTCCCTTGTTTGGTTTTGGTCCATAACATTTCTTGGGTCCGTACATTCTGTGGAGGGCGATACCAACCTTTGTTCCTCKGCGAGTGAACGAGAGGAGACTGGCACCAGCTGCGCGAACGGCTGCGTCGTGATTATTCTTCTCCATACTCAGCCAAACCAGTTTAGAAATGATGTCTATGAAAACAAAAATTTAAATATTATTAACTCTTGAGTTATTGCTGACAAAACCTCTTTCTTTTCTACAGCAATTGAGCTTGTTTTACAAAAAAGAGCCCTAAGAATAATTTTCCGATTAAAACCTACAGAGAGCGCTATTCCTTTCTTTATTGAGACTAATACCCTCCCAATAACACTGTCTTACATAGATTCTGTATCACAATTAATGTATGACAATCAATGACAGTGCTCCTAGGAACTTAAAATCGCTTTTTACTATAGTACCAAAGAGATTCATTCTTATGAAACCAGATCTTCTACAAAAAATAATCTTTATACGAGATTTTCCAGGTTGAATCTACAAAAGAGATTCATTTTCTCGAGTGGGCGTAAGATTGTGGAATCAAATCCCAGTTAAACATCAGTGATGTATGACGAAATTCAAGCTGAAAAGCACAGACTCTTATTACAGTATTATATAGCTAMATCTACGTACCCATGTAAACTTGCGTTGAAACTTTGAAGACCTTAGCTCCTTGCATACCGGCTGCTCCGAACTAGARTTATGAAACACAAAGTTATGTTTAGCAAATGTCAACATGAATTCAACGGTATATGTCCCAAAAGGATTACTGGGAAATATTTCAAAATGGCGGTCATGTCAGAACTCCTGAATTGCATTGTATTGGTTTGAAAGATACAAAACTTACCACTTGAGCGGTCCTGACACCCAATCTGACAAATGGTGCTATAAACAAAGTGGCAGAATCAGCATAGAATTCCAGTTAACTGAAGAATCATTATGAAATGCGCATGCTTACAATGTGCTCAAAAAAAATGACGCAATTGAGAAAACAGAGTGATGTGTTTAAAACAACTGTGCAGAGACTGATAACAATGAAACAACTTTGTTTACGCACAAGAAAGTATTACTAAAATATCATTCTATCCTCTTTTATTTTCATCGTTTCGATTAACCTGAAGTATATAGTGACAATTGTTTTGAAAATGCTAATCTACAACATGAACTTACCATCCAAAAGACCGTCACTAACACGGAATTGGTTGAAATTTTTCAGAATGAATTTGACCATCTCTACATGCTTGTCGGCATGTTCCTTGTATTCCCTCTTCAAGTTCTCAATTTCTTTCTTTTCCTCGTCAATATTGTCAAATAAACCTGCAAAAAAAGTTAAAGTGAGTCTCAATAACACTTTCAGGTAAATTATAAAGTTTCAATAAAATGAGGTCCTGAGAAAACTGAAAAAACGATCGCTTTGAACACTGTAGGCAATAAATTGATTTTGACGATATTTAGATGTTGAAATGTAGTCCAATTAAAGTGTGCGTTTTTTTCGAGCGGAAAATCCCCTAATTTCTATTTATTTCGGCGTTCAGTTTAAAACATACGACTGCCAAACACCCGACAATCACGGTTTATTATTAATGAACAACTCTTGCTCAAAGAGAAGCGTAAATTCGGTTCCACAAATTACRAGAGAAAATATTTTAGTTTACCTTTTTGCGTAGCATGAACGACGAACATGGCAAAACGACGTTGAATTGCGATGAAGTACTCTCCAGCGATGTGCTTTGCCTTTTCAATATCGTTGTTTTTAGCGGCTTCGTAGACTCTCTTTCCCATTTCTATACAAGGAAATAATATCTAAGTGAAGGATTTACAAACATCATCATCATCATCATTCATTATGACAAAAAAAATATTACGGACAAGTTGAAACTCTYCCGAACTCAATAGCTTTTGAGGCGCGAAAAAAAAACTTAGTCACGGCCGTTGTTTTGAAGCAGAGCTAGGCTAGACAGTTTAGAGTTTTATTAATAGTTTTTKCATTATGATACTTACCTTCTTGGTCCTGTCTCATTARYTTYGCAATTTGCACAATTGGTTTTAATGCTTTMACAACCTATAAAAGATTTGGAATATCACTGTATGCCACGACACATTGTCTTTGCGCATTTAGACCWTGAATTAACCGTTGAAAATTCATGGATTCAAGTCAGCAAGTCAACTCTACTCACCTCCTTTTTGACGWCCAAAAGCTGAAAAATAACGAAATTAGGTATTAAGTTTGTTAATTTTAAACTGACTTATTAAAGGACCATTTAATAAATTCTACATCTATACACTATACTACTGATTATAAAACTGYACGTACACGTACCTGATCAACAAGTTTTCCCAGTGGCTCCTTATATTTAACTGTAAACACGCAAAAATAACAGTTGTTTGTGAAACGAAGACTGATATTAAGGGCAGATTCAGGGTCGAGCATTACTGGAATGGCTAGCCAACCCCATTTCTAGTGTTTGCAAATCATTTTATTCTTCAACAACAAACTCAGGATGGCTTTCATGCCCATCAAACCAAACGGAACAACAACAAATTCCGTTTTCGCTACTAAAGTACATGCAGGAATAGAAAATAAACTTCTCTACAACAGAAGTAACTTGGTGCAAAGAAAAATACCATTATTGAACATCCAAAAATATTGATTTCTAAGTAGATTTTCACTAGTAAAAACTTACGGTCTGGGTGTTCATCTGGTTTAACTCCCTGGACAGACTTGACAAATAAGAAATGCGCGAATTTATCCCAGAAGTCCTTCATTGGTTTGTCTGTGGGACCTCCAGTTGGTCCATAGTCGTCTGTTGGTCCGTATGTTGGTCTGCCTGTTGGTCCATAGTCGTCTGTTGGTCTGCCTGTTGGTCCATAGTCGTCTGTTGGTCCGTCTGTTTGTCGGTCTGTTGGTCCGTCGGATGGTCCCTCAGAAGGATCAGCATCTTTCACAATCTTGTCAACGAATTCCGAAATCAGATTTTCTAAAGAAATAAAAGATGATAGTTAGAAGTATTATTGAAAATGGGACATAAGCTACTTCCATAGTTTGGGCAAATAATTTTGCGAATTTTGGCTCAGAGTCTTTGAAAAAGTTACGTTTCGATATTTTGCTAATTTTTTATGGCGAGACCTGTTAATTGCGTCGATGAATGCGAGGATTTAAAATTTAGAGGGTGTCTAGTATTGAAAAGTAGTTCAACTCCTACATCGCAAATAAAACACGACCATGTTTCAATTTCAAACAATTTGCGAGTGCAATTATCCTTGAAGCTGAATTCAACTGCAATCAAGTAAAACTGAGTTTTGAAAACTGAGCCCTCAGAAATTAATCGACAAAACTCTTGAATCCTTGAAACAGAAGAACCGCACGCAGCACTTTAAAAAAGGCCCTTTGAGAAGTTTTGCAAATCAGAAATCCCATACATTTCAGAATTATCAAGAACGGAGATAGATTTGTAAGCCTTGAGATTGGGAACTTACTTAACCAGAACCATTTCGAAAGCCCTAAATAGCTGAATTTACTTATATTTGATAAAACTTACCATTTTCCTGATCCAGAGATTCGTAGGGTTTTGCAGCAGCAAGTCCGAACACCAAAAGTACAAGATAAGCAGCTTTCATTTTGATACGAGTCCTTCAGCACAAACTCCAACTGAATTGATTCGTAGCACAGTGACGAGTGATAAAATCAAAAATGCAATCCATATTTATGTGACAAGGCGAACAAAGAGAAATCCTTTGAGCCTAAATTACCGAGAACGCATTTGGTGAAAAGGATAAAGGTTATGCAACCCCTATTCAATTCCATTCAAACACACTAAAAGCACTTTTTTACGTCAAAAGTCACTTAAAACAGTCGCATCATTGTAAAGAAAGGAAAAGTTCACTCTTTTGCTCGTGCAAAATGTAGGTAGTTTAGAGTTTTGAACCTCATAAGGAATTATAAAACTGATTTACTAAAATCTTTTTATTAAATTTAAATCCTTTTCTACAGTCCAGTGAACTTCGATTTCTACCTATTACATCGTTAGTATGCAGGAACAAAGGCAAGAAGGCTTAAAACCATTGAAATGTGATGTAACCTTTTGTAAAAGAGTTCTACAACTTGGTATTGTTCTTTGCACGCAATCTGGAAAATTAGTCAAGAGAGCGTGAATGAYTAAGCAGTTTTGAAGCTAAAAGACTCATTAACACTATGCCTTAGTGTTTTGGCCGAATGACATAATCTTTTTTTAAGAATTTAAGAATTTAACTGTCAGATATGTGAGCAAATTTGTCCATGACGTTGTCCGTCTTCAAGTTCCGAAACAAACCATGCAGTGTGGCTGTGCAAATTCAAATACTTTTAAATGTTAGTAAATAAATGTGAAAGCTTTTCCCTCGATGTACTGAGGTATACTCAATGTATGCTTTGAGTTTTTCCAAGCATGACTTCAAAATTAAGATATCGAAATATGTTATTGCATATATTTCTGCKWAAAATTGTGTRATGAATTACTTAGCCAAGTTTTCAGACCTTTTGACCATCACCAGGGTCATAAGTAAAAGAGATATTTTAACGTAGTTGCTCAAAAGAGACTTGTGTAGTGTAAAAAGTTTGTAGAAGATATTGACATTAACTTTTAATTCAAATGAATTAAACGAGCTTTTAGTTTAGATTTTATGATTGAATCGGTATTTTTTTACTTTAACAATTTTAAATAAAACTCTCTGTGTGGCAAATCATTAAAACTATGCATGTATTCGATGTGCTTGATAGAATTGATTCTATTATATATATTAGCATATGAAAGMGCTGTTTTGTTGCTCGTTGATATCATCTACCGAAAGATGTTTATTTCCTAAAACATTCAAAATTCCCTTCAAAAGTTTTTAAAGTATTTTAGGAAAAATATTCTCGCGTAAAATGAAAATATCAGTGAAGATATAGAGGATATTAAATGGGCGCGCGGAGATACGAATTTTATCTTCGAGGTTCAATTGATATCTCCAAGCGCCCACATGTAATATTCTGTTTGTTATATATAAATTATCATAAACACAAAACAGCAGCAAAAGGTAAATATACCTTTATTTAATGGTGTTATTTTCACGTGAGAAAGATATCACTTTTTCGCGCGAAAGATACACTGGCATTTCATAATAATTTATATCATAAATGCAACATGCGCTGTTGTGAAAGAACCATATCTCTTTAAATTATTCTAAAAAGTGTTTCACTTCACTGGCTTTAATTTATTGTTCCTTAGAACAATAAATACAGCATTTAGCGGTTTACAGAAGAACCGGCATAAGCTTTGATGATATTTTTTGTCCCTAGCTCCTGACGGAATGCTTTTCA